TATGTAAACTATTTTATAACTGCTTATGTACAAGTACGATTATTCTTTAAAAATTAAGTGAATGATTAATGTCTATTATGTTATCCATCGCGGAAAGATTTTTCTATGACAATTATTATTTAACACCTCTATAGTATCCATTACGAAAACAAATTCTTCTTGGCCAGCTAGAAACAAAGTACAGTGAAATAAAATAAAATAAAAAATGGTTCTACAATGGTTATTACTATCCTCGTAGAAACGAGAAGTCACCCACTGGTCAGTTTGGTCGTCACAGCAACATTTTATAACACCCTGATACATGAAAGAACAGCACCAGTTATTGATTTCCTTCTGAAGGCATGTAACCATTATTGAATCCGAAGCCCTTTTTTTGTTGTGATTCATAGAGTTGGAGGTCAAGCTTCTTCAATGCACAATTCTTGATTGTGTGACGTGGGAAATTATTCCTACAGAGTATCATGCTGCTACCACTAACCAAAATCTTGAACTCTACTCATTTTGAAGTTCTTGGAAGCAAGTTAAACACGGTTCAAACTTCAAACTTCTGCAACTTATCATCTTTTAGAAAACTTGAGCTAGAACAAATATCGTGCGTTGAAAAATAATCCAAGACAGCCTGTTTGTTTTGGATTAAAATCTGATTTTAATTTAAGTCAAAATCAAACTCGAGCTAGAACAAATATCGTGTGTTGAAAAATAATCCAAGACAGCCTGTTTGTTTTGGATTAAAATCTGATTTTAATTTAAGTCAAAATCAAACAATCAATATTAACCACATCTTTTATGGGTCTCACAATTTTTCAACTACACATTTCAAAAACTTCTATCACAATCTACTAAAAAGTCTAATTTCAATCCCCATCAAACACCCTTAATTATCTGCTATGATTTACCAAAAACTACTAGCTAAAAACTTGAAATTTATGGAAATACTATTTTTCTCTATTTATCAACTCGTTCTAACCAAAAAGGAAAATAATATGGTAGCATCTTTGATGAAGTTGAAGAGATAACGAGCTCCAGCTCATGCATATTATTGGCAGAGAGTGAACATTGCATTTAAAATCTTAACTTTTAGATGCAAATGATTGTCGTACATATTCTTATTAAATGTTATCTNATTATTGGCAGAGAGTGAACCTTGCATTTAAAATCTTCCCTTTTAGATGCACATGCTTGTCGTACATATTCTTATTAAATGTTATCTTCAAACATTTTGCCTATCCCTTTTGACAAAACAAATTGATTGCAGGTCTCAAGATTCAATTCGATTCATGAATACTATATTGCTATTGGTCAATGGATGTTGCAACTAATCTCATATTTTTTAAGTAAAACATTCATCATCACACATTATTCCCATTCTGCTACATATTTCTCTGATTGATTTATTCAACTTGATTCAGTTGATGATTCCAAAGATAACATCAATCTAGGTGATGGTTCCCAAGAGATATCAGGTTATCTTGTCTCCCTTTCTTCATGGATCCATTTTGAGTTATTGATTAAAGATTTTGGCTTCTAGTTTCGTGAGATTCTCTACTTCCAAGTATATATACATATATATGTGGCTCTAAAATTATAAGTAACCAAGATCCTGCAGACCGTCGGCAGGAAATTTAAAAATGGTTAGCGTGGATAAAAGTATAAAACGGTTAAGTTTCGTAATCAAAATTGGAACCAATAATACCAATTAAAACATTCTAAATTAGTTTTCGATTTAATTGGATTCTCTTTGAAAAACTTTATAAAACTTTAAACTTTATAAAATTAGAAAGTTTAGAGGTTGAAAACCTAAATTCCATTATTATCAAGATCCTCCATATCAAATCACCAAGAAAATTAATAATGCAGAACATATCTTAATTCATTGGGAATGATTCTTCATTACTGGATCTTGAATCTTGGAGTTTGAACTGCAATATTTTCATGTTTTGATTCTTCACTTTTAATCTTGAATTTTGCCTCACTTTAGTCTTTAATTCTTGTTCTTGATTTTGACTTCTTACTTTATAATCTTGATTATCTTGATTGTAATTCTTGATTCTTGATTGTGTGGGTTTTGAATATTTCTCTTCAATATACTTTCTCTTGTATTCTTGTGCTGATTGGATGACACAAAGAATGAGAAACTACATATAAATTGTGGAACACACACACACACCCCCATCCACCCACCCACACATATATATAAGTATTTCGTCCATCATGAAATACAATTTTAAAAGAATCTGGTTTATACACATATAATGTGGCCCACATTTTATTTAGATATCCTAATCCCATCACTTTAATTATTTATTAGATCACTTTAATTGGACTTAACTTTAAGATAGCCTTATACACAACTAATTACATAAGTACGCTCATATGACAAATTAATAAACTCAACAATCTGCCACTTGGATCACACATGTTATCTAATAAATTTGTGTAATTTTACGAAGTCAAATTTTTGCTATCATAACCAAAAGTATCTCCGCACAATCTCGTCCATTGATTATATCAACATAGGATCAAAGCGGTCTTCGTTATAAGTACCA